TGGGTGAACCTCGTGGTGACGCCTCCAGTGTCCTCATTGGTTCATCATGTCCGCGCTCTCGTTGCTCACTCTCCAACTCCTCCACATCAACCTCTGGCTCTCTTTTCTCATGCGTCTTGCGCGGAGAAGATGTGTCATCCAATCTCTTGGGCTCACTTTCTTCTGATGTCTCCAAAGGTCTCTTCAAAGCCATAGATCCTGTCTCACCAGACGGTGATGTTGGTCCGGGAGTCGCAGGTGCCATAGAGCCAACATTTGGTGTCTTGGGCGCCACCATGCCAGGTGTGTTTGGAACTGGTGTCTTCAGTCCCGGCGTCGGTCCAACCATCCCAGCTGCAACCTCTGTGGCAATCTCCTTCATTTCACTCTCTTCTGCTTCTGCCTCAAGCGTAGGCTGTCGTGCGCGCTGAATCTGTCCAGCATGCCGCATCAAAATGTCTTGAGGAGAGTAGCTCCATGGAAGCCCCTTGGAGATCACAATGTCAGTCGCGATGAAGTTCTCCCCAACTGCCAATCACCTGATCGTCCTGGATTCGAATGCCCCTTCTGGCGTCAGGATCACGTGTGTATCATTCCATGGATGTTTTCCTGCCCAAGCTCCACGTTCAAAGATGTTGTTTCCTTTGAACTTGACAATCTTCTTGAACAGGACGCTCTCTCCAAACAACGCCAACTTCCCATGGTATCCATGCCCTGTCGCCAGTTCAAAGCTCGTCTTGTTGCACTTCTCCAAGACACGGAAGCGGTTGATCAGGAAAGCAGCATACCTGAAGCTCCATGGATAGAGGTGGAATGATCCAAGGATTCTCAACCTTGCACGATCCTCAGCAAATGTCCTGAGACAATTTGCTAGCCGCCTCACTGTTTGGACTGCTCTCTCAACCTGTCCATTGGATTGGTGTTGTCCAGTGCCAGTCATGCGGATCTCTGTCTTCAATCCCATGATGCTTCGGACCTGTTGGACAGACCTCAAAATCTGACGAGTCGCTCTCTCGGGGTCAGCCTGGAAGATGTACTGGTCATAGGCAGAGTTCTCCAGTGCGAAGCGAGTGACCTCCTCCGTGACCGTCTTGAGGCTTGCAGTGCCCTTGGAAGGCACTGGCACTGCGTGCACTGCTTTTGTCTCAGAGCTCGTCAAGATCAGGACTGTCCCATACTGGTCTTGTCTCTCTTGGACTTTTCCCATGGATGGTTCATCACCTCGTTGATCTTCACCAGTATACGTGTAGCAGAAGTCCATTTGAATGACATTCTTGCCCTGGTCCTCCTGCTCCTCTCGTGCTGGGCGCTTATCCTCTTTCGCACGGCTTGCCACGCAAGCCTGGCGCCATCCAGCGTAGGGCATGTGGGCGATGAAGTGTCGTTCCTGATCTGCTAAGCTCGGCAACTTCGGTTGTCCAATGGTAACTGGAAGTCTTTCCTGCTCCTTGTAGATGCGGTTTGCAATTGACAGCTGCATCTGAGTCTCCAGGTTGATCTTGAATGCAGTCAGCCTTTCAAGAAATCGTTTCTTGCTTTCAGTGTGTGCCAAGTTTCGCTCTTTGCATGCAATCTGCAGGTCTTTCACTGAAGTCTTTTCTGAGAAGAGCGTTTCATCAAGCTCGACTTCATGTGGGCGCTGAGCAATCACCCTCTTCTCGATGTCGTGGTGCTCTACCTGCTGCTCCATCTCTTCAATCTCTTCACCATCATCATCAGACCATGCTGTTGCCTTGGTTGCATCCTCAGGCTCAGGAAAAGGAGAAATTGGAACTTCTGAGTCTGGCTCCCAATGGTCTCGAAATCTCGTAGGGGCGAAGAAGCTCAGAGTGCGATGTGGTTCATCATTCAAGCCAATCTTTCTGAAGGTGTGCGGCTTTGTCTCGGTGATGTCATCCTCCTTCTCCAACTGCGTCCATTGGCCATTCTTCTCCTTCACAAGTGTCATTCTTGACTTGTAGGCCTTCTCAATGTTGTCCTTGGGGTCTGCCAATCTGACAGCGACTGGATCACTGTAGACCACCACTTCGTTTGGCAATCTGTGTCAGCCGGGAGCTAACTCCAAGTCCTGCACACACTTGCTCAAATAGCCTGTCAAGGCCATCACTCTTGCTGTCATGCTCGTGGTAGTAGGGCTCGATGTCAATGTAGCCTCGCTCACCACACAGGTTCTGGCTTCAAGCTGCAGAGAGTTTCTTTCTGTGTTCACTGGAACTTCAATCCCTTTCTCATCATGTCGAAGTTCTAGCCCATCATCTGATCTTTGCAGACTCCAGCCACGTCTCAGCAGTTTGCCTGCGCATAGGATAGGGTGTTGCACATTGCCCAGGACAAACTCTTCCACTAGCTCAAAAGGTTTTCCTCTCTTGTCTTCTATGCGAATGCGGACTCTGGTGACTCCATCATGAGCAATTCTTTTGCCTTGCGCATCTATCCTTCAACTCACTAGAGCCTTGTTGCCATTGACCCACTGAAGCATAGGCCCTTGGCAGCACTGACACGTCTGCACCCGTGTCCAGGGTCACCAAGCAAGTGTCAGCACTCGCTTCCTCAACCTTGACCATGTTGACGTAGAGCTCATCGTCGTCCTGCAAGTCCATGGCCACTATGCTGACTCCAGCTGGAACATCAACTCTGGGCTCATGACATTCCATGTACTCCTCATCCGCAGTCTCACAGTCTTCATCCTGTTCACAGCGAATCATGCCAACTCGCCATGGGAAATTGTCACCGCTGCCTCTGGGTGTTGTCAAATCGAAGACTTCCATCGAAGGTGTTCCTGGTGGAGTCTCAATCCTCACCATCTTCACATTGGCTGCTGAGCTCTGCACTGTTGATGGACCTGCTCCAGTCGATGACGAACTAGCTCCACCTGGATTGCTCTGCTCTTCGACCTGATTGACTCGTGTCCAACAATCTTTGGCGAAATGTCCAACTTTGCCACATAGATGACAAGCTCCTGTGGCCTTGCCGCCCTTGGAGCCTTTGTCAGCCATCTTGCCTTTCTTCCCAGGTCCCTTGTCCCAGGTGGACTTGCCTTTCTCATAGCTTTTCCAAGAACCTTTTCCATCTTTGGACTTGCCTTTGTCCTTTCCTTTCATCTTCCCTTTGGCATCTTTGCCCTTCAGCTTGCCTCCTTTCTTGCCACCTTTCTCCCATGCCTTGCCCACATAGTCGACCTCCATTGGTGTAGCCTCATCTGTGGAAGCCCGTGTTGGCAGCATGAGAGAGTTTGCGCTGTCCCATTTTGTCGTCACGGCCTCAAGCTGTATGATTCGGTCCTTGAGCTGCTCATAGGTCGTGGTGTCCGTGATCCAGAGATGCAAGCGCTGTCTGATTTGCATCGGACAAGCCAATAGCACCGCTGCCACCTTAGCATCATCACTGTATCCATGGCCAGATATCCTCTCATACTCGTTGATGAGTGCCTCAAACTGAGGTAGTTGTTCTGACACTGTTTTGCCTTCAGCAAATTGAATCCGGGACAACTGACTCAGCAGAGCCAATGCCCTTGCACGGGTCGCTGGTTGCATCTCCCGCAATAGGATTTGCCATGCCTTGAACCCATTCTCCTTTTCCACATGCCGAATCAGCTTCAATGGCCTCTGTCTGAGGTAGGACGTCAGCAAGCTGTAGAGTCGAACTGCCCGGCTCTTGGTTTCATCTGTCATGTCATCCATGTCATAGTTGGCCTCCAAGTCTCTCTCGACCAGGTCCATGTCGTTGGCCATCGTGGGATCAATGCTTTGATGTAGTTCATGAACGAGAACTTCCAATCTCCCCATGACTTGAGCTCATTGTCTCTGCCATCAGGTTTGAACACATCAGGAGCTTTGAGATGACGCGCCTAACCTTGGGCTGCTTGATTCACTGTCAGCCTCTCCAGAGCCGTGGCCACCAGACGAAGGCTTTCTTCAGCCATTGACCTGAGGTTCTTGACCTTGGGGTACGGCTTTGTCGTGCAAAGGGGATCGTGTGCTTCTCCTTCTGGCTTGAACTCCAATCCGCTATAGACCAAGCTCTCCCAGAAGTGCCAGTTTCGAACCCAGCTCACAGATCTTCTCTGGTGGTGTTTCGTCCCGCAGGGTTTCTACTTTTGAGATGAACCTCCACTTTGAGGGAACAACCACTAGGATCTCGTTGAGGTCAGCCGAAACCTTACCTCCAACCCTTTTCTGAAGTATGACCGAGGCACGAGTGGCCTTCTCTCCCTTGACCCACCTGATGCGAGCCAGGTAGTCCTCACGGCCACCCAGCGATTGGGCTGGTAGTAGTTCACCTCCTGGATCGCTGCTGCCCCAGCACCACCGGCCAGTCCGGCCAAGATGATCAGCTCCACAAGCCAAATGCCTGCCCACTTCGAATTCTTGCTCCTGCTCTGGGATGTCGTCGTGGTGCTCGTAGTGGTGTCGTGGGGCAGTCGGAGCGTGGCGCGCTACGGCCAGCCGCTCTATCTTTCCTCCAAAATGGGGTCTCCAGCCGATAGCGGCAAATTGCGGAAATGCGTGGTTGAATGCTCATGTGCTTGACTGCCCTGGATATTCTATCATAACATATATATATATATATACTCTTGAGATCTTCTGAAGTTCACTCAATCCCTACCTTCTTGATATTGAAAAAATTATGGCTTGGCCTGTCGCCAAGCCCTCACAAGTGGGAACACCAGCAAGACACCGTCGTGAAAGTTTTGTCTCACATCGAAATACATACACACACTACTAGTGCATCAACACTATACCATGACCCACAACACGACCCTCTAAAAATGCCCTAAGGGCCTAAGGGCACGTTGATAGGTGGATTCATTAACAAATCGGTGACAAACAGCGACATCCTTTCCAGTGGGCTGCCAAACCCCTGGATATCCGAATCACATCTATGCTATACCTCTAATGTGTCTCGTTCATGGGAACCCACTTTAGCCTGTCCCCTTTAATTCGCGAGACAGAAATCTTCAAGCTCTGATGGCATCTTCGCATCAAGCAAGACTTTGTGTCTTCCCACTACACTTGGCAGACTCCGAGTGCTTACACCATGTGATTTATATAAGTCAAAGAGATTGCAGTGTGTACATGTTGCGTAATTGCCCAGCGCAGTCTTTTTGGGCATCTCTGTGCAAGCGTCAACTGTAAGAATTCCAGGGCCTGTTGCCGAGCTATGCTTCACAGAGCAGCCAATGTGCGGCAGTCATCAGTACACAAATTACGATCACTGGTCAGTGGCACGCAAAGAACGTTTTGGTCAACTCAAAACGAGCAAAGAGACATGTATATATTCAGAAGGATTTTGCTTCACCTACCTGCCTCTTCCTAGGCCTCTTTGGCTTGCTCTGCAGCTTGAGCTGCCGTGATTGTCAGATTGCCTGTCAGGGACAAGCAGCTGGTTGCACTCACTAGCAACAAAAGAGTTGAAATGCTCCAGCAACGTGCCTCCTCCACAATCGACAGTGGCTCCCCACGGTGTCCACCAGTAATGTTGCCAGCAGCGTGCCTGTTTAGGATTCAACCACAAGTTCTCTTGAGTTTTATGAAACCCAGAATTACCATAAAATGAGGCCAGTTGACAAAAAACGGGACTGACTTTCCACTTTCCTAGGCAATTCTTTTTCTAGTATTGACATGCTACTGGACATACATAAATGACGAAAAGCACACATGTTTTCTCCACAGGTGTCCGGCCTCGCAGCAGCTTTTCAGCTTGCGTTTCCTGAATCGGGTTGCAAAAAGGATGCAAGGAAAGTTTGACAAAGCCTAAGAAATTGATGTACAAACCCAGTCAGGCTACCGGGTAGCCTGCTGTTTGAAAACCAGCCGTACAAGCCATGCTTGCCGATCATGACTTTGGCTCTTGTGCCCTATCAACATCCCAACAACTGGCACCCACATCCTGCATCATCTACCAGATTTGTGGTTTACTGAGGAATCCCGCATGTAACAAAAATTGCAACTCATTATATATGTACTGGAATAATTGTTGAAGAATGCACAGCCGAATCATACACCAACCACAAGACACGAAGAAAATGGACACCCAACGCATCGTTCAAGGTTGAAAGAGAGCAAAGCGATGGCGAGTTGCAACCGAAATCGAGGTCACCAAGGCAAGCAACACGATGCTCCTAGTAGCGATGCCCTTTGTTACTAGTAGCGTCCTTGCTCCTAGTAGCGATGCCAGGAGCCCCTAGTAGAAGCAACACGATGTGTTGGTCTGAGTGTTGCTCGACTTGTATGATATGCGGTTGAGGCTCGGCACCCAGATGGATTCATCGCATCTTACGCACCAATTCTTAGAAAATGCAAAGGAACACACAGATTCATCCAACGCAAAGGCGTCAAGGAGAGCAATGGCTTGATAATTCGACCTAGTGCTTTGTTCCAACTGCAGTAAAGGATCTTTTCCCCAGCTTTGCCAGCCGCTCCTTAGCAAGGATCCTTGTTCAAGATTGCTTGAACAAAACAAGGTACTTGTAGAAGGCAGGTTATCCTGCGATATTGAGGTTTCAGTTGGTTCAGTCTTCAGACGGCAGACCTAATGCTCTTCCAGTTATATTGCCATCTTGCATCTAACCCCAATGGAAACGCAGCATCCAAACAATGTTGTTGACCTAATGCTCTTCCAGTTATATTGCCATCTTGCATCTAACCCCAATGGAAACGCAGCATCCAAACAATGTTGTTGACCTAATGCTCTTTCAGTTATATTGCCATCTTGCATCTAACCCCAATGGAAACGCAGCATCCAGACGACTTTCTACAAGACCAGACGACTTAACACAAGTGCTAGTAGTTGGACCCAAAATGACAGAAAAGCGGCGCTTCCACCATCAAGTTCTTGTCGCAATTGTCCGTGAGACAGCACTCCTTTGTGTTTGCCTGTTTCAATCAGCAATCAAAGGCAAAGGGCAAACGACACGCTCCAGAAGTTGTGGTTAGAAGATTGATGTGTTCACATCTGAGATCATCCAGGCCGATGGTTGAGCCCAATATTAAGCAGATCTTCAATGTCGAGAAGTGCAGCCCCGATGCATTGTACTGATAAAACTCCCAGCCCACCTGGCCAGGGACGAGGAGAACAAAGTCATTTATGTATTTGCATGTCAGAGTACTCTGACCTCACTGCAGTACACCTCAATCATCCAGAACTAAGATTTGACCAATCCCGGCGCCTTTTCAGCTTCCGCTCGGCAGTCCAAATGTGTTTCCGCAGTTCGGATGTCCATACCTACATTGTTGCAATGAAACTGCAAAGGCTCTGGGGAGCTGCCAGTAGCAAGCAAACAGCGACGGTCTGTGCCTCCAGGAGCATAACATTGCATGTCGTCGAAGCCAATCCGGAACCAGGGATCAGACTGGTATGGCAAACGGAGGTGCACACTAGTTGGCTATTCATAGAAACGCACTTCGTTGTAGGAAGCAAACTGAAATCGTAGTCTGATTTGGCCTCTCTCTCTCTCTCTAAGTATGTGTTTATAGTATGTTTTTGTATATATATACACAGTATAAGCGACAGTCAGAATGTGTTGTGGAGTAGATCATCCGGATTTGGTGAGTGAACTATTACTTTTTGGTGAATGCGCTACTCTATTGTTTTTTGAGCGCAAACCCTACATGTTGTAATTCCATGACACTCACTGACTGTTCGTCACTGTCACTAATTTCGAGCTTAGCTCATATGTGTGTATATATGTATATATAGCATACACATGTCCAACACAAGCATTAGCCCTAGAGTTTCTGAGATGAATTGGCCACTGTTTGATTGGTGCAGGCATTTTGAAAGCAAGAACTTCAAAGGCAATGGCAGTGTCTGTCTTGTAGGGAAGGGTGTTATCCGGGTGTGCCAGGTGGGCGCTTCGTTTGCTTCCTCTCGGTCAGGGACAAATTTGGGCTACCGCACAGCATCCATTCTTTCGTTTGGCATTTGTCAGGGGCCGTGATTATTCCGAGCTGGAGCTCTATTCACTACATCTTATATACATATGAATGTTTTTTTTTGGTGTGTTATTGGGGCAGCACACACTGCGCTGCTGATTATCGACCAGAGCAGTTTCTGGCCTGCTGCAAGCGTCTATGGGAGTGCGAGCAATCCTCGCTCGATCACAAGTTGACTGATTCTAACTCCGAACTGTCGCAGCAGTCCTTTCCATCAGCACAGGCAATCTCCTGAAGAGTGGAGGGGGAGGCATGCTGAAAAAATCCGCCCGCACCGAAGGTGCCGAGGCGTTTTTTCAGGGCACGCGCTATACGTAAGCTAGCATGTGCAAGCCAATAGCTTTAGCTAGGGGGGGGGGCATTTTCGCTCTAGAATCCTGTGTTTTTTCACGCTTTTGGAACCGGCTTAAAATGCTGGAAGATGAATTCGTGCTATTTTGAAGCCCCTCGTGATGCAAGAAATGCCATTTTCTTCCTTTGCATGATTTGAATCATCTGAGCGGTAAAGTGTAATTGGACTGAGGCCGGACATTTGGCTGAACAGGCTCCCCTAACGTGGCTCAACATAGCTTCCATATTGCCTAACATAGCCCTAGAAGTCACTATCTAACGGACGTGTCTGCGAGATAGGGACTTGAACGCAAAACATGGCCCAACAAGGGCTCAAAAGGGACTGGAATAAAGTAAAGAGATTGTCTAACATAGCCCTAGAAGTCACTATCTAAAGGACGTGTCTGCGAGATAGGGACTTGAACGTCGTAAACATAGCCCAACGAGGGCTCAAAAGGCACTGGAATAAAGCCCCCCCCCAACGTGACCGAACGTAGCTTCCATATTGCCTAACATAGCTTTAGAAGTCACTATCTAAAGGACGTGTCCGCGAGATAGAGACTTGAATGTCCGGATATTTGGTTCCACAGAGATAAGCAGAGATCAGGTCCAGGAACGGTAACATTTTCTCACGAGCATAGCTTCCATATGGTCGAACATAGCCCCAGAAGTCACTATCTCAAGCATGCTTCCTCGAGATAGGGACTTCAACGTCGTAAACATGGCCCAAACCCGTTTCTGGAGCCTGACTGCAGTCTTTGAGCCCTCCCATGCGGTGCGGGCGGTTACCGTCGCGAAGCGACGTGAATAAAGCACATTGAAGCAAACTTCGAAGTAGGCTCTTCGTTGGAGTTTCGAGAATATTGATACAAATCAAACCGTTCATCACAGCCTAGGCATCGCTCTTTGACAAGTAGGAATTTGAAAACATGAAGGCTGAGGACATGATTCAATGATGTTTTTTTGTAGTCTTAGTCTTAGTGTCTCAGTTTCAGTTTTAGTTGCATGTCGCGAGCTTACATGAGTAAGTTTTGTTTGCTCTTGTTTGCGACCAGGATGCATATGGTCGGGTACCCGAAACACTCACAATGGGCACTTGACTTGAAGCCTTGCGCAAGCAAATACGGGCCAACACAAACTCGACAAACAATGAGGGCGGAGGTCGCTGGCCAACCCAACCAATACTGATCAAGGAACAGAAAATGAAGAAAAGTATGAGCCAGTAAGAGCAAACATTGACCATTTCAAAGCTCCTGCTCTTTGGCAAAAGTAATCCAAAGTACACTAAGTGCTCCAAGGATGCGGCAGGCCATGGCCTGAAGCAAAGCAGAATCCGGCACTGAAAAAAAAAACGAAAACCGTTGCGCTGCGGGTTTTTTGGCGTTCCAAAAAAACACATCTAAACGACGGCCCTTTTTGTTTTTCTCGGGATGACAATGTTGTGAAACTGATGACAATCATATGAAACCGACGATGAGTATGTATTATCAGATACAAGAGTGCTCCTGTGCGTGCGTTGCTCTCGCACATCACTACCCCTTCATATGCTACTGGTACTAAGCACTAGCAAGAGCCCATTCGCTCATTGCTTGCAGAACTGAGCCCCTTGCTCTGTAGCAGGGAAGGGGCGGGAAGAGGCTGAATGCAATGTGAAATTGGAAAGTGTTAGAAAAACAGAACTAGACGACGGTTGGCCCGAGAGCGAAACATGTGATTGTCATTGTCCAGCACTGTTGAAAAGATATATAGAAAGAGAGAAAGAGAGGCTGGACGTGAAGGAGTGACAGTGTGGATGCGCAGGTGCGATATAGATGTGTAGATGTATGGAGGGGGGAGAGGTAGATCTGTGGATGTGAGCGTGCGAAGATGTAAATGTACAGAGGCGAGAGAAAAGATATAAAGAAAGACAGGACAGATGTGAAGGAGTGATAGTGTGGATGTACAGAGGTGATATAGATGCGCAGATGTGTGGGTGTGGTGAGGTGGAGAGGTAGATCTGCGGATGTGAGCGTGTGAAGATGTAAATGTACAGTGGTGAGGGGGTGTAGACGTAGATGCGTCGACGCAACGGCAGCGCAACGTCAACCTTAGTGGTGCAAGTACAACGCTGAAGAGGCTCGAATAGAACTGAAGAACGTACATTTCACACTGAAGTTTCCACGAAATGGACGTAAGGGCGACCTGAGAGCAAATATGGAAATCTTGCCTTGCAGCACTGACTCCAAGTAAGGCTCCAACCACAACGGTGACGTCATCGCTCGACGCAGCTCCAGGCTCAAACGAGTGTTTTGCTCCACAGAACACCGTGAACGAACCCCTCGAACGTGCGAGACAGGTGCTTTTCCAGCAATTCCGAGTAAGCCGATAGTTCAAATCGACTTGTCCAAGAGCCATGACCTCTGGGTGCAATTTAAAATATGAAGAGAAAAGATGTGTAGAAAGAGAGAAGGAGAGGGCGGATGTGAAGGAGTGACTACGTGGATGCGCAGGTGCGATATACATGTGCATATGTGTGGAGGTGGAGAGGTAGATCTGCAGATGTGAGCGTGTCAAGATGTAAATCTACGCAGGTCAGAGAAAGGACATGTAGAAAGAAAGAAAGAAAGAGAGGGCGGATGTGAAGGAGTGACAGTGTGGATGTACAGATGCGATATAGATGCGCAGATGTGTGGGTGTGTGGAGGTAGAGTGGTACGTCTGCGGATGTGAGCGTGTGACGATGTAAATGTACAGAGCACACTAGAAGCAGAAAGAGAGAAAGAGAGGGCGGATGTGAAGGAGGGACAGTGTGGATGCGCAGGTGCGATATAGATGTGCAGATGTGTGGAGGTGGAGAGGTAGATCTACAGATGTGAGCGTGTCAAGCTACTCTTGTGGGACACTCTATCTGGGACACTTCTTGTGGGACACTCTTGTGGGTCACTCTTGTAGGAAGCTCTTGCGGGGCACGCTTTTGGGACACTCCTGATACCACAAATCATCCCGCTCACCAGCGACACGCCGCGTTTACGCCAGCCTGTTTCGCGCTCCCCAGTGACACGGCGCCACGCAAACACACTCCCCGCCAAGGCCGCGCAAATCCGCATGGCACTGCGACCAGCACGGACGTAATTCGCCACACGGTCTGCCACTGCCCGCACACTAGTAGCAAGCCAGCGTGTTTCGCGCTCCCCAGTGGCACGGCGCCACGCAAACGCACTTTCCACCCAGGCCGCGCAAATCCGCATGGCACTGCGACATCACGGACATAATTCGCCACGCGGTCTGCCCGCACACTAGCAGCAATCCTATCACATGCCGCCGATCATCCCGCTCACCAGCGACACGCCGCGTTTACGCCAGCATGTTTC